ATATATATATATATATAAAATGAATTATGTCCGTTTATTTTATCAATTCGAGTTTATAATTTAAGTTTTATTATAGTAAAAAATTTTCAGAAATAATTACATCTAACTTTTTTACTACAGTAAAAAGCTCTCACATAAAATTACATCTTAACTCGAACTAAAAACTCAAATTAACGAACTAAACGGGTCCTTAATTGACAGAATAACGTATCTATTTATAACATGTCAATTGAAAGTGGTAGTCTGCATCACTCTACATTAATTCTCAAAGGACTCCTACTCATGAGTCACCCCTGCATTACAATCAGCTGAGGATGAATCGTCTAATGCACAATTATCCCCTAAAAAATGTTTTTAAGGAAAGTGGAAGAGATCGCAATTAAGCATGTGAACAACTGAACTCATAGTTGGTCTGTCAGCGGCACTTTCTTGGATGCACAACATTCCAATGTCGACGCACCTCAATATCTCATCTAATTTTGATGGCCCATCTTTCATTTGGGGATCTACAAGGTTTGAAAGTGTTCCTTCTCTCCAATTCCTGCGTGCCTAAAATGATATTGAACAAGCATTGTAATTACAATGAAGTTTGAATTTTCTAAGGAAGCGGGCTTCTATCCCAAAAAATTAATTCTTTTAAGTGGGGTGACAGATATAATATAACTTAATGTTTATTATTATAATTAAATAATGTGAAACTCAGATTTATTTTACTCTTTATATTGCATATTCTAGCATATCGATCTACCCCTTTTGCTCGCGGGATTGAATTATGTAGCTTTCAACTTTTGGGTTTGAACCAAAAGGTTTAAATTTATATGGGAATTTTCTGTTATTTGAACTGGTGTTTGGTAGTTTAAGGTCTAAACAGGAAAAAAAGTTTGAACTAGTGTTAGGTGACATCCTTAGAACTTAGTGAGAATGTTAAGCGGAGAACTTTGAGATATTTCTGTGCAAAATGAGTTAGAACTAGTGGCGGAGCTAGGAACTTTTTTAAGTGGAGGCAGGAGTGAAACTAAAATAATAGTACAAAGATTATTCGATTTCACTATTTTTATATTTTTTTAATACAAATGAATAAATCTTCTAATTAAATTTAATTCACTTTTTAAGGTCTGTAATGCTGTTGATTATTGATTTATTTAGCAATTTAGGTTTGAAATACTAAGAAGTTAAACTTTGGGATGTAATTGAAACGATTTTAAGCATTTCATATAAATGTCATAAATGAAAAAAATCCAGGGAGGTGATATAAGGGGAAAAAATGTAAAAAGAAAAGGCTGGGGCAATATTAAAGCTGGTCACCTCAAACCAGTGGGGAGGGGTGGCCGCTCTCACTCTACCTAAGGTGGCTTTGCTATCGGTTAGAACCCATCAAAATTTTGAGAAAAACCTTAAAATTTATGCTCAAATAGAATGGGAGCCCTAGTCCAAGTTCAAATTATTATGGAACCAAACAAGTGTCAAACTGTTTTTTGAGTTCAAATCCACCAAACCCCTCCAACTAAACGGCCCACAAATCTCCTAAAAAGTTCAGTCAAAGTTGGCCAATTCTAGTGTTTATTTTACAATACAAGGGACAAAGACAAGATATCAAAGATGCAATTTCTTCCGCTAAGTTATCTTGCAGTACTCTAGAGGGAGAAAAAGGGACGTAAACAAAGATTATAAATTCGCACTTACATAGCTAACCAAAGGGTGTTCGTAATCCTCTCCACGATGCTCCGAAAATCCACATGTTCTTCCACTTGCTATTTCTAGAATTAACTGTCCAAAACTAAATACATCCACCTCCGTCGAAATTGGCCCATTCCTTAAGTACTTTGCAGCTATATATCCCCTGTATTGTGATATAGAAACAACTTTATTTAGCATGAAGGTAAAAAAAAAAAGAGGAGTAACCATGAAAAGTAATCTTGCAAGTTGCATCGCATGATATAGTAACTAGTATGATAATATAAGATGCATTCTGATTTAATATTTTAGTGTACTTACACGGTGTTCAAAAGTTTTCTTGTATCTTCACTTTCATAGACTCCAATCAATTTCGCCACTCCAAAATCTGAGATCTTAGGATTCATGTCTTCGTCTAACCAAATGTTACTCGCATTGAGATCATAATGGATGATTCTTAAACGAGAATCCTCGTGAAGGTAAAGGAGCCCTTGAGCAATGCCTCTTATAATTTTGTATCTCGTCTCCCAAGCCAAATGTTCATGCTCGGCTTGTGGATCCACATATTCACATAAGTAGATGATTTTGTTAAAATTTAGAAGCATATGATGCTACTGTTGCGTGTCAAAGTTTATATAATAAATAGATTCTAGAATTCTATACATGAGGAAGAAGGGTTTCAAAGAAAATACCAGATAGTAAGTCATCAAGACTCATTTTGGGGAACTCATAGACAAGAAGCCTTTCGTTTTCTTTCAAGCAGAAACCGAGGAGCCTTACGACATTGCGGTGTTGAAGCCTCGAAAGCAATAGTACCTCATTCTTGAAGTAATCTATATGCAAACCATTCTTGTAAAACCTTTTCACAGCAATTTGTTGCCCAGTAGACCGGAGTTTACCCTGAAAAAAAAGTTTTTAACACCAAAATGAATAGCGCTAGCCGTTTTGGTATTTTACTAGTTGAGGGGCCCCATTTGGAGCCGAAACAAAGAGCTTGTGTTCACCTTACCCTGTAAACAGGACCGTGCACGCTCTGTCCAATCTTATTTCTCTCGGAAAAGTTACCCGTTGCAACACGTACGGTTCTAAAGTCAAATCGCAAGCAGTCGGCAGTCCCAAATTCAACTTCTTCTTCTTTATCATCATCATCTGAGGAGGAGGCTTGACCAGCACTAATTAATAAGAATAAATAATATACATATATATGGACTTATTTTCAATAGATACATTTCTAATGGTTACGTTTCTAATAAAGACATATGTGTCATGCTAAAAATTCAATCTCATTAATTATCATTTTTTTTAACAACTGTTTAATTTAGTAACTCTCTTAATAAAATATAAATATTGATCGATGAGTAAATACTAAAGTAATTATTAGAACCGCACCATCACCAGATTCTATATTTAGTGGTAATCACGTATGGAAACATATCCATTAAAAACTCATCCATATATATTACATCTTTAGAATTTGTAATAGTTCATATATTTAGGTTGTTGTAGCATAAAACGAGTAAAGAATGTGATAAAAAAATTCTCTACTTAATGCATACACGCATGACAGCAAGCAATAGTCCAATACGTATATCTTGTTTGCAGGGTGAGTTCAATTTATGTGGTTAACATAATCAAGTTAGGGTCTCATGCAAAATAATAATAATAATTAATTAATTAATTAATTAATTAATTAAATAAAATAAAAGAAGAAAAAGAAAAAGAAGAAGAAGCAACCAACCTTAGCTAGACAGGAATTCTAAAATCTAAACTCAGGCCTAAATTTCTGAGTAGTAATATAGATCGTAGAATTTGGATGAAGCATCGAAAACGTATAACTTACCTTCAACCTTCTTATATGACTTCTTCACTCTCGAGTACACGCCTAAGGAAATAATGAGCACCGCTGTAGCAGCAGTAGCTACAACTATGATGCTATTTCCAGACGTGTTACTCTTCTTTCCTGTAAAAAACGTGAAATTTCCTTTTGATCAAATTTTTTATGCAGGGATCAGGGGCCGAATATGTCAATCTAAACAAATACCAAGAAAGGAGATTTAGTGCTAATTGAAGTTCTTAAAGAAAAAATCTGAAAATTAGAAACAACACTCACATGCTACATCAATCTATATTAAAAAACTGAGATAATACCTATTGTAGCTCCGGCTTCAGTCAATGGTGGAGGCGGCGGCTGTGTTGCTGGTGGTGCATCATACGCATGTCCATAAAATCGGTAAACCTCGTATCTAAAGTTACAACTCGGTGTTACAACTCTTCCCCCTACCTTCCCGTAATACCGCGGAATGTCTTGAAAAGCTTTATCCAAGCAGTTGTTGCAGCCCAGCTGTGACAAATCTGGCCTACACTGCGCAAGAGCATATATGATTTGAAACTCCGGAGCGCTTGTATTTCCTGTTGCATATTTGCGAAGAGGGCCTCCAGCTGCAGCTCGATTTTTCAGTTCGTCGAGTAAAATTCTGAGATCTCGGAAAAAACCATTCAAGTAAATGGACGACACGCTCTCCGTGCTCCATGAATGGAATATTGGACTCGTTTCCATGACGCCAAGAGATGGGAGGTTTGAGCAGCGCAACATGCATTCGTCAAACCCCCCAATGGCCTCCTTCTTGTTGGGGCAAACCAGTGTAAGAATTTGAGCAGATTTAACGAGGCAATTACGACAACCATTGGGCTCGATATCTCCTCTGCAGAGGCCGGTGGCGTAAACTTTATCAGAGTTTCGGCCATAAGAGGAATTATAGAAACCATTGCCATTTCCTCTTGAGGGGAGTATGGAAAGGACGCGGTTGAGGTTCCCTTGATAGGTGCTGTTGGTGGTGTAATTGCCTTTGTGATTTTGACATTGTTCATATTGGAAGGTTGGCTGAGCAGAGGATTGGATCACTGGAGCGTATACAGAACAGAGGACCGAAAGCTGTCTTGAAGAAATTGCTGCAATTGCGAACCTCTGTAGATAAATTAAAAATACTAGACATTCATAAAACAGTTTACCAATCGTATATCACTGATAAACCGATAATTTATGGATTGAAATTGATTAATTACTAACTAATATTAATTAATCAGTCATAAGTCATCATTCCGTGATTAACCCGACAAGTTAATAGATAGTTTTACTGATTTTATAAAACTTAAACCATTTATTAGAAAAATCGAGATTCTCTAATAAACCCACGTATTAGTAGGTCAAATTTTCTTAATCGTTAAATTAAATCTGTATATTTTTAAAATTTACGTATTTTTATGCAAATTTAATAAACAAAAAACCTATTCTACCGGTATATTAACTTACCGTAGAAAGTCCTCTAAAAAAATCTTAAAAGCAATTATTTACGAAACCGAAGCGAGATTATGCAGACACACCACATGAGGGCCAAAATGCCACTTATCATCTAATATATGTTAGAATATTTTTATGTGAACTTTCATAATCATAATAATTCATTATGTAATTAATTAAAATATTTTATAAATAATGTATTAATGTCAATTAATATATTTATGTATGTTAAATATCAGTCTATAATGAGATGGATACTTATTTTATTAATTCACTTAAAGCATTTAAACTCTCTCTATCTCATAATATTTAGTTAGCACATTGGACTAAATACATTCTCTAAATGAACACTGATTAAAAACCCTTAGGGGCGTTTGGTATGCGGGAATCAGTAGGAATCATATTCCCAGGAAAGTGATGGAGGGTAATATGATTCCTAGGAATAATTCATTATTGTGTTTGGTTCCATACAAGAATCTTTTTCAAATTCTCAAGAATATTACATTACTGTGTTTGGTTGTTCTCATGGAAGAAGATCCATAATAATAATAATAATAATAATAATAAATATAATAATAATAATAAGATTCTCATAATTTTGAGATTCCTGAAAATTTGAATAACACCATGTTGGGTGGTATTCAAATTAATAATAATAATAATAATAATAAGATTCCTATGATTTTAAGATTCTTGAGAATTTGAATAACACCATGTTAGGTGGTATTCAAATTACCTTAAAATTAGGAAAAGTGAATCCCATTGTAATCAATTTCTAAGAATCTAAAAATTATAATTCTTGTACCAAACATGATAATATTACAGATTCTCATTCTCATCCTTAAAATTACTACATACTAAACACCCCCTTAAACTTATTTGGTTTATATAAGCACCACCCCTTCTTTAGGGAAGGGGGGTTTGAGCTTGTGGGGCATTTTGGGGTGTGTGTGGCCGGGGAGAGAGAGAGATATAGGGAGGACCTCAATGGCTCCTCTTGCCATTTTCTTCCTTTTGCAAGTTTTCCATGGATTTTGGCCGGCCATCGACGTTTTTCGATGACCATGAATGACGTGCTTCCGCTGCCCACCGAAATATGATGTATGCTTAAATCCTAAATAAAAATTTTGTGACATTTTCAGATTTTAGACTAAATTAGTTATTATGATTTTATTTAGATCATGTTTAGGTCATTTTAAATCTAACAATTTATACATGTTGCATCAACGCATAAAATCCAAAAAAAAAAATAAAAAGAAGAAGAAAGAATAGAGATATACTGTAATAGTAAGCAGATATTGTTACGGAAACAAGTAGATCCATATATGCTTGCAGATCTATAAAAAACAAAACAAAAAAAAAAAGATAATCAAAATTATCCTGTTAAAAAGAAAGTCAGTAAAGAGAAAAGAGATCACGTGCTGAGAGTTGGCCGCGGTGAGCGGCTGTGAGGAGATCCGGCGGTGAGGTTGGGTTGCGGCAACAGAAGTGCATAACAAAATTTTCAGACTTTTTTTTTTTTTTTGCTCTGGATAATTTTCAGACTTAGTACTACACATTTATAAAAAAGAAAAAAAAAATCTCTCTTTTAAGTGAAAAATGATCTTAATATTGGGCAGAAAGAACTGCGAAGATTCGAGTAGCTTCGGGCTTTCCGTGTTTGGAGCGCGTTGAGTAGAGTTGACCAAACATGTGCAACGACGACTGTCGTTTATGTTGTGCCACTGCACTGCTAATTAATTGAGCCTTTCACCATTTTTTAATGCTGGGTTCGTTTTTGTTCCTTCACCCCCTGATTCTGAATTAGAACGAAACGATCAAACGGTGAAACAAAGGCCGCAGATTTAAATAAGAACTATGTTGAATAAAAGAAGGGCATCTGTTTTTTCGATTTCCAATAGAAGGGAAAATTGAAGAATGGAAAATTAATAAGATTGAAGTTGAAGTTGACCAATAAAAGTGAAAATTAATAGGAAAACGACAGAAACTTGAACTGTGTTTAGTCTGGTAAAGTTAGGAAAAGGGAAAACACCTTAAAATATGTCTTTATTGATTGGTCCAAATATCAAGTTGTCTTTCTTTTTCTCTAAAATATTAGGCTCCGTTCATTTCGCTGATTCGAATTTAGAATTTGAGTTTTTTTTACAGTAAAAAGCTCTCACAAACAATCACATTTAATTTTTTTACTACAGTAAAAAGTTCTCACATAAAGTCACATCTTAACTCAAATTCTAAACTTGAATAAGCAAAATGAACGGGGTCTAAAGAATCCATGTTTGTTTTCTGAAAACAACATTAAAGTGTGTAATTTAGGCCAGTACCACTTATGAAGTCTACCTTTTTTTTATTTTTTATTTTCCTGATTATGAAGTCTACTTATTTAATCAACGCATCTTTTATATGTAAAATTAAACTCAAAATTTTCCACAAAAATGGTATACTAAAGACTAGGTGGATGGCCGATTTTGACCACCTCCTTTTAATTAATGCCAAACTTTTTCCTTTTTTTTTGTCATTTAGTTTCTTTCTGTTGGATTTTACAATTGTTGTCACATATACTGTTGGTTTATTACTGATTTACTAATTGTTAAATCTTACGTTAAGTCTGATGTTTCTATGATATTAGAACACTGTTTAGAACACGATTTAATTAATTAAAATTTGGATTAATTACATTTAGTTGTTCGAGTAAAAAGTAAAAGAACACACAATATGATATCACAATTCGGTATGCACACCTACATATGTGGAGCCACGTTCAGACAGTAAATAGTTAACTATGTTCCATAAATTACAGACACCGGATGGACTTATTAACTCAAGAACTCCCTCCTAGACAATGACGCTGTTGTGACGAATCTCCACGGTGATTGTTTAGCGTGAACCACACATCTTTTATTCACCTGACGAACTCTCTTAGACCGGTAGAGCTTCCTCTCGAAAGCAACAAATCCCTCTCCTGAAGGACGATCTCAATAACTCACAAGGTTCACAAAAATTCACAAACATCTCTCTGAGTATTTTCTCAGTAATAAGCTCTCAAATTCACAGACTTTTCCTCTGGAGATGTTATATTAAATCTATGTACACCCTGAGCAACCTTGAGGCCTTTTCTTTTATAGAGCTTCTAAAACTCCCCTTATTTCACATTAATCACATACGCTCCATAACAAATATCTTAATCCACCAAGATAGCTTATTCAAATTCTTTCCACGATCTTCTCCAAGTAATCTGCATACTATCTTATATACACAAACAAATTTGCTTCATTATCTCCTTGATTTTCTCAATATAACTTCCACCAAGTGTTGCATGTAAGGCAAGTAGATAATGGCAAAGGAGATTGAAAACATCTACTTACTTCCAACCGATTATTGCAGCACAACATTTATCTTCATATAAATTTCAAACTTTAAATCTCCAGCTCATCTTCCATATAAATTCAAACCCATATCTCCTTCTAGAATTCTATCTTCTATGTCCACGTAAATAGCTTAATCACCATGAAACCATATTTTGAATTTTGAAACCAATGTCATATCTTCTCACGGCCATTTTGCAGCAACTTCAAATTTCAACCTGCTCCAGCATGATCACAAGCACTAAATTTGCAACTCTAACTTGTTTTTGAATTTTTACACGTTATCAAATAAATTGCCAACTAATAAAAATACCTAATACTAATGACTCATTTAAAATAGACTAATAAATTATTGATTGATATTGGTGTATCAGTGATATATCACCAAATCAATCCATGATACAGTGATACACCTTCAGGTTAATTAGTGATAAACAATAAATCAATCAATTATTAATTTACCACATCTGAAAACAATCATTTTCTTAATTTAACATCACTTCAGCCACTATAAAATGGCTTAAAAATTATCAGTAACTTCAAGTTCTCGATATAAGAAAATTTGAATATAAAAGTAATATTATTCCTCAAAATTCACCAATTAAATCCGTGAGCTAGATATTTTTGGAACGTACATGCCCAACATTAAAAAGATATGAAATGACTAATATGTCGAACTGCAATACTTGTATTATTCTTGGACTAATAATTATCAAGAAGTTTTTTCAGTAGAGCCTGTAATTATATATTTTTCAGCCATCAAATATATATTAAAAATTGTATGTTTTACATATTTATTTAATCTAATATAATTTTAATTAAATTTAATAGTCAAAAACTAATACTATCTGTAGAGAGGCTCCTTAATTATCACACTAAAATATTAATCCATATATATCTTGAGCTTCCCTTGGGAAGGTCTATTTGTACCCAGTCCCTTCTTGGGACCCCGTGCGTGCATCACCTAACTCACCTCCTTTTCCCCAGAGGTGGTAGGAGCGCAATTTTGACACTACTGGTAGATTGGAAGTTATTCCTATTCATTTTCTTGAAATTATTTTAGTTACTAAATAGACCTGATGGACATTATATGGAACAAACATTCAAGTATTCAACTTTGTAACTACCCTCCTAAAAGAAAGACTTGTATGGTTCGACAAACTTGTCTACATTTATGAAAGAGAGAGAAAATTCACTAATAAATTTAAAATTACACACTTTATAAACTTTCTCACATTTTTTCTCTCCCCAAAACTCCTCACTGCCATTTGTCTATCTCCTCACTCACTTTTCTTCACCTTTTTTTCTCCCCTCAAATCCAGGTACCGTTTCTCTCGTCTTCTCTTAAACTAAAAACTCAAGACAAAGGGGAGGGGGAAAATGAGTATTAAGTATGTCACAAATGTAAGTTACGGACCATACTCGTTAGAATGTGGTTCACTCGTGGACCCTTCAAGAAACTGGCACTTGAAATGATCATCAGATTGATCAATAACTTCTGAATTCAAAATATCAGATGATGATGATGACCCGTTTAGTTCATTTCTAGTGCTTTCTTGGAAATATCCTGGCCGCGAGGGAACAGGCAGAGAGAAACAGTTGCAATTAAGCATAAGAACAACTGAATTCATGGTTGGTCTGGAAAATTTGTTCTCTTGGATGCACAACAATCCAATTTGTATGCACCTCACTATCTCAGATTCGTTACCATCTATTATTTGTGGATCTACAAGATTTAAGGCTGTCCCTTCCATCCAATTCCTCCATACCTACAATGAATTTCAATATGTGGAGATATATAATTCATTCTTGGATGAATTATCTCATTAGTGCGCCTAAATTTTGAGGTCATTCTAAATTTTCCTCCTGAGCTTTAAAAACTCAATTTACCTTCAAAATTTTGAATTACTCCCGGTAAACCCCTTTCATTAGAATTAGATAAGAAAAGAGAGGTTAAAATATGGCCATGTGTTTATTTTTTCAATTGTTTTTAATGGAAATTCTAATAGAAAGAGCACGTGATCCAACTGCTTTTTTTTCGTCTTTTTGAAAGGAGTTTAGCAAGATTAATTCAAAATTCGTAAAGAAAATAAGAGGTTTTTAAAATCTAATAGGTAAATTAGGAAAATGTAAATGAGAGGTATTACTAAACTACGAAAATGAATATTCATCGTACTTACTGTGCTTATGAGGGCAGGTTCGAGAGTCTTGTCATGATATAGAGGCGTATATTTTTGTCCGGTCACTATTTCTAGAAGCAATACTCCAAAACTGAACACATCAATCTTCACTGAATTAATCAGCCCGCCAAGCTGGAAGAACTCCGGAGCTAGATATCCCTTTCTGCAAATAGATTGATCGGCTTCTTTAAACCTCTCAAAAAAAAAAGAAAAAGATTGATATGCTTACAGAGATGGTTTTTCATGTACTTACAAACTGGTCCACATTTGCGGAAAATTTGATGCTTCTTCAGTTTGATCAGCTCCAAACAACTTTGCTCTTCCAAAACCTAAAATCTTGGGGTTCAATTCTTCATCTAACAAAATTTTTCTGGCTCTGATATCACGGTGGATAATTGTCAAACCAGAATCCTCATGAAGGTAAAGAAGTCCGCGAGTAATGCCTCTTATAATATTAGATCTTCTGTCCCAATCCAAATATATGTGTTTCACCTTAAGTCGATCTATGTGCTCATAAAAATTTTTGTTAGTACTTGTAATAATTAACAACACACGAAAAAGTTTATGTAGTATAACGAACACCATCAACAAAAGCGAAAATGCAAAAAGTACCAAATAGTAGGAGATCAAGACTCGTAGGAATGAACTCGTGGACAAGAAACCTTTCACTTCCTTGCAAGCAGAAACCAAGGAGCTTAACAAGATTGCGGTGTTGAAGCTTGGTAGCTAATTTCACCTCGTTTTTGAAATAATCTCGATACGAATCATGCTGGTAGAACCTTTTCACAGAAATCTTCTGTCCATCATGAAGTCTACCCTGGAAATTCATTACAACAAACAAAAATGCACCTTCATATTAATTTCAGAGTTTGAAACAGAAACAATTATGCTAATTTTAAGTTGTAGCTTAGTAAACTAAGATCCTTACCCTGTAAACAAGACCAACCATACTTCGTCCGATCTTATTTTCCTCGGAGAAGTTATTTGTTGCAAGTCTGATGGTGCTGAAATCAAACCGCATGCATTTCGCGCATTCAATTTCTTCTGCAGCTTCAGACGAGGGGCGATCTTGACAATATTATCAATGAACCAGAGTTAAAATTTCCGTGGCAGGCCTTTAAAATGTTAATGTATCAAAGATTGTTGATTTCATCAGTAAGTTTAAACTCAGAATTTGTAATAGTTCATATATTTAGGTTGTTGTAGCATAAAACGAGTAAAAAACGTGATAAAAAAATTCTCTACTTAATGCATACACGCATGACAGCAAGCAATAGTCCAATACGTATATCTTGTTTGCAGGTTGAGTTCAATTTATGTGGATAACATAATCAAGTTAGGGTCTCATGCAAAATAATAATATTAATAAATAAATAAATAAATAAAATAAAAGAAGAAAATGAAGAAGAAGCAATAAACCTTAGCTATGACAGGAAAAATCTATCATCCAAAATCAGGCCTAAATTTCTTAGTAATATAGATAGTAGAATTTGGAAGAAGCATCGAAAATGTATAATGTTGACAGTGAAAAGTTGTCAACAGATTAATAATGGATTGTGAATGGTTTGTGGGTGGATTAAATAATAAAAACGTGACTAATACTAATAAAAGGAAGATCAACGCCCAAATTTTTATAATGGTTCATTCCAAAATATAAAGCTACGTCCACCGTAAAGGAGATGAAATTGTTATTATCAGTTCAAGTGTACATTCAGATTTTACAAAATGATCTCTCCTTTATATAACGGGCTGTCCCTGTCCCTTTCTAGGCATGCTCTCAATTTCAATTTATCCCCCCTCGAGAAGTCCAACAGTTACGTCAGTCACATCCATCATATCCGTTCTCTTTTCTCACAATTCGAATGGGCACGCCTGAGCCGTTGGATCGTATCCTTTCAGTTTTCCGCACTCACCTGAGCCGTTAGATCGTGGCTTTTCGCATCCATCGTCGGATTGGCATTGATTTCATCCAACGGTTGAGGGTCGAGGGTTCCCTCACTTTATAAGCGAGGGTACTCGACCCCTTTTCTTCCACCGCACTTGAAAAACTGTTGAGACTCTACCCCAAGATTTTCCCAGTCTTCAGAGACCTTCCTAGCCTCAATTTCTCCTCCATTCGCGGAGTTCTCTCACTACTCTCTCTTCTTCAAGCTTCAAGGAATCTACCTTTTCGATTTCTTGGTAAGTGCTTCCAGCTTATTTCTGATATTTGGCTTTTTGGTTTTTCTTTTCCCATATGTAGTGGTTTTGCTCGCGATTCATGCTTGAAAATGGTTAGGAATGGGGAAATAGGACTTAGGAAACTCATTTTCTGCATCATTTGGACATTTTTAGGCTAGTTTTCTGGGTTTCTGGCTGACATGGTGAGTTTCGGGGTTTTTGAGTTTTGGGTTTTTGGCTAGGAAGTCTGGGTTTAAGCTTGAATGCTCGACGCCTGTGTTGTGCATTTAGGTCCATATTGAATGCTTTGCCATATAGGCTAAATACTTATTTAGGCTATTTCCTAGGCTACTATTCTTAGAGTCGAGCGCTTTGATGAGGTGTCGTCGCCCTGCATGAGCTGTCGTCGCTCTGCATAAGTCTGGGTTTCGGTTTGACTTTAGATTTTTAAGACTATTTAGGTACCGAACTTTCTTTTCCTTCTCCCCTCTCAACTTATAGGATTCTGACTTCGGATTTGTCCTTACAATCATGGCACCAAAAGACTTAGCCGTCGAGGGTGTCGACGTCTGCTCCTCTTGTGAGGCCGGACCCTTCTCAAGCCGCTGAACCTCTCTCTCTCCACCAGTGATGACCCTGTGTTGAGGGAGATCGACGAATATTTCCCCGACCCCCGTGATGACGAAGATAGCGTCGACCGCATAGTCGAGGGTGGAGAAGAGGTGGAGGAGGATGAGGCTTCCACATTAGGTGCTTCCTTTGGCACCTTGCAGGGGGGTGTCATGTCCGGTTTGGGGGGGCGCTGGTCAGGCGTTCCCCTGGCAACGACGGTGGCAGATTCAGAGATGCCATCCTTCACGGCTAACGACACAGCGCTGAAGACTAGGGAGAGGGACATTGTTCGAGCCTACAAGGAAAGGCACAGTGACAGACGATGGTTCGAATACCTCTTCCCAAACCCCCATCTCAGGGCGAGCCTTCCACCCCCTGGTTATTTGGCCGTGTACACTAGGGCCTTCACCGTGGGCATGACTCTCCCACTCCACCCTTTTGTAAAGGATCTTTGCGAACTCTACGATATCTCCCCCACACAGCTGGCACCCAACTTCTGGTACTGCTTCACCGGTATGTGGGTTCTATGGGACTAGAAGTTTGACATGGAGTTGCCGCTGGATGAGTTCCTTTTTATATATAAGCTTTGCTAGGTCGCCAAGTGCGATGGTTGGTATTTTTTGGGTAGTCACGGGCGCTTCAAGTATGGTTTAGGAAAATTTATAAAGGGGTTGTCATTGTCGTCACATGCCTAGAAGCTAATGTTTTTTATGGTGAAGAACATGTTCGACGTTCACCCCGCGGATAAGCCCTTTAAACGCCGAGGGGTGCAAACCTCATTTGGGACGTTAAGTGTTCCTCTTAGTCAACCTTCCTCTAGCCAAATCCTTCTCCCCTTCTCTCTCCCTTGAAGCAATTTGTTTTCTTTCCTGACCCCACATTTTCTATGCAGGACCCCAAGAACATCCTAAACTTTTTAGGAACAGAAGGGTGAGGATTGATGAGTCTTTCAATCTCCCAGAGAGTGAGCGCCACGTTCTTGCTTTCTTAATGCAGGAGAACATTAAAAGGTCTGGCCTCATGCTTTCACTTCCCGACGCCAGTGACCTCCAAGCTATGAAGGATTTTTTTAACCTTACCACTGGAGGTTTGGCTTCTTTTCCATGTTTTTGCCTTGACCTTATAGGTTTTTTTTTTTTTTTTATATATCTATCTCATTAATCCCTTTGTTTCTTCTTTACTTGCTTTTGTGGAGATGAAGACCCTCAAATTCTGCATTCCTGGTGAGAAGGGGCGATCGAGAAAGGAGAAGTCCCGGGAAAGGTCCGGCGTCCCAGCCTCTCCTATGCCGACGAACACACCTGTAGCAGTGGGGCCTGCCCCCAGCCTGGAGGCGCTGAGGCCTAAGAGGATTCGGCAAGAAGGGGCACTAGCAGCAGAGACGGCGGCGGTGCCCTTCGTTGACAATTTGGACACCCCGGAGGGTCCTCCGCCCGGGGTACGATACATTCTCCCAGGGGTGGGTGAAGATTCTGGACCCTAAATTTATAGTTATCGACGTCTCCCACGCACAGATTGAGGTGGCGTTAGGCCTTCAGCCTCGATTCTCTGTCGTGTTTCAAGCTTTCTGTGAGTTGTTCTTTGACAAGCACTGGGTGGCCGCCGCCCAATCCATGCTTATCGACCGCTCCTGCAAACAAATCTCCCAACAGATCCATGTAAGTTTCGATTTCTACGCTTGTCCTATTTGGATTCTCTTAACCCTCATTCCCCCTATTTTCAAACGCAAATCTTATTCAATATTTACAGTCTCTTGTCCTCTCTTTTATCAATCTCGTTAAGCTCATCAAGGTCGAGGCCATAAGCAGCGAGATTCATCGCATCAAGGATAACCAAAAGGCTCTCCTGGAAGTGGAGAAGCTCCAAGTGAAGGCCCAAACCTCGGAGATGGACGAGGCCTTAAATCAGCTGGTTAGCTTCAAGAAGGAGTTGGAGGAGGCCAAGGTCGAGGTGAGCGAGGCTAGAAGGGAGGTGGAGGAGGCTCGCAAACAAACCGCTGAGGCCAACGAAAAATGTCTCTCCGAGGGCAGGTAGGAAGGATACGAAATAGCCAAGAAGGAAGGAGCGAGCGAATACCTGGCCTCGGAGGAGTTTACCCAGCAGCATGTGGGAATTGCCGCTAAGGTTGTCGAGGACTACAAGTCCTCTGACGAGTTGTACGACATGCAAGTCGGCGATATGGCGTCTGTTGGAGAGCAACTTGTTGTGAGGATCCACAGGCACATTTTTGGCCTCAATCTGGAATTCATGTACGACCCTCTTACCGACGATGAGGTCTCTTCTAGGAGCGATGAGGGCGGCGATGGCAATAGAGGCGCCGAAGGGACAGAGGGTGGGGAGGACATTAGAGGCGACAATGTTTGAGGGCGCCGTGGGCTTAGTTTTCTTCCCCTTTTTTATTGTAATAATACAGATAATGGGTTGTCGGCCCGACTATGTACAAATTTTCTATCTTTTAATGAAGCGTCTTTTTCCTCTTCTTTCAACTGAGTAATTTTATCTCTGTGCCTGTTTTTTTTATTCTTTTGTTATCCTTTCCTCTTTGGAGGATTTTTTGGCTTTTAATGGCCGTTGAGGCTTCTAACTTAGTAGACCTTTGGTTTCTCTTAAGTGTTATTGCCTCCCCTCCTTAGAGGAGTCAACCGTATAAGTTCTTTGGACTTGTTACTGACTGAGCGCTTCATACTTCGTAGATTGAAGTCTACCAATTATTTGCCTGTCCTCCTTGGAGTACTCGGTAGCATTTGCCTCTTTTTCTTGGAAGAGTCGATGGTGCACCCTCATCTCTTTTTTTTTTTTTTTTTTTTTTTATTTTTGAATTTTTTTTTAAATGGGAGATTTTCTCTTTCATACGTTCTCAGCAGCGCCCTCTCTCCCCTCCTCTCTTTTTTTTTTTTTTTTTTTTTTGAATTGTGAATTTATCTATAGATGGTAGATACCTTACCCTCCTATGTCTGGCTAAAACCTTAGTTTTTAGGCAGATATGTCATATTCGGGAGACCTTTTTAAGGTCTCGTTGAATATAAGTAGGAAGTTCAACGTAACATGGATAAGTCTCTCTTCTTTTATTTACCCTGTGAGAGACTAAGATAGTACAACCGAACACAATTGAAGTAACCAAGTGAATGTCAAATAACAAATCATTGATAATACAATTTTAGCTGTTCAACGTTCCACGGATGTTGAATTCTCCTTCTGGCAAGGCTTTCCAAAACGTAGGTCCCAGGTCGTCGTATCATCGCCTTTATTCGGTAAGGCCCTTCCTATGTTGGGCCTAGGGGACCAATGTTCTTGGGTTTTGTACTTTGAGCTACCCTCCTTAATATCAAGTCCTTTGGGTGAACCTCTCTGCTTTATCTTTTTGTTGTAGTATCGTGCGGCCCTTTGTTGGTATGCAACTAAGCGAAGCTGAGCCTTCTCTCTTCTAATAAGTCGAGCTCCTCGTTCATTGCCTTGCAGTTCGTACTTTCATATCATAAGCCACTACTCTATGTGTCGGCGTCTCAATCTCTACTGGAAGAATTGCTGCGACGCCATATGTCATGGAGAATGGGGTCTCTCCAGTGGTGGTTCGGCTCGTCGTTCTGTAGGTCTATAGGACCTTTGGGAGTTCTTCAGCCCACTTTCCCTTTAAATCATCAATTTGTTAACAGTTTCTACTTGTTTGTTTGACTGTGAATGAATTGGGGCTGAGAAATCCTTGTGGATGCCCAGATCATCACAAAACCTCCGTGTAGCAGCGTTGTTAAACTGCTTACCATTATCGGAGATGATCGAATGCGGGACTCTAAACCTGCACATAATGTTGTTCCAGATGATGCTTATGCAGGAGGCCTCTATAGCCGTGGTGAGAGCTTTCGCTTCGGCCCACTTAGTGTAGTAGTCCATAGCGACGATGGCAAATTTGAAACCTCCTAGTGCGACATGTAAAGGTCCGATCAGGTCGATCTCTCATTTGGCAAAAGGCTATGGGCTGAGAATGGAAATTAAGTTCTCCGAGGGTGCTCTAGGAATTGTGGCATAGCGTTGGTACTTATCGCAACACTGAGCGTACTAATATGCATCTTTTTTAAGTGTAGGCTAGTAGTATACTTGCCTTAAAACCTTGAAAGCTAAAGATTGCCCCTTAGTATGATTACCACACTCCTTGAATTTCCCGAAGGACTTCTCTAGCTTCGTCGTTGTCTAAACAATGCTATAGCGGCGTCGAATAGCATCGTTGGTATAGGAGACTGTCGTACAACAAGTACCTCACGACTCTATACTTAATCCTTCTACCTTCATCCTTGTTGTTGGGCAACTCTGTGTTTTTTAGATACTTGATGATTAAGGTCATCTAGTTTTCTCTATCTTGTGTTGACAGAACCTCTTCCACCTTTTCTTTAATTGAGGGTCGTTCCAATTCCTCTATGGAGATGACCCCTAATAATTCAGGGTTTTTGGAGGACGCTAATTTTGCCAAAGCGTCGGTGTTAGAGTTCTCAGCGCGTGGGACCTGCTGTATCTCATAACTTCTGTACTTCGAAAGTTCCTCATTCACTTTCCTTATGTAATGCCCAATCTTTTCTCCACACACTTGGTACTCCTCCTTGAGTTGGTTCACCACCAGTTGGGAATCGTTATAGACTACGATGTCCTTAGCTTTCAAGTGGTTTGCTAGCCGCATGCCTGCGATTAGTGCTTTATACTCTGCTTCATTGTTGAAAGCTTTGAATTTGAGGAGTACAGTCGCAGTGATCTTTTGGCCTTTTAGGCTTATTAGCATAATGTCTGTTCTTGACCCAATTTCATTTGTGGACCTATCCATATATAGTTTCCATTTAACCTGTGTATTACACTCCTTATTCTCCGCTGCTGCAGGCTTATGGGAGAATTCTGCCATGAAGTCAGCTAATGTTTGCCCCTTAATCGTAGCCCTCGGCGCGTATTCAATATCAAATTGGCTAAGCTCCACTGACCACTTCAGTAGTCAACCATATGTCTCGGGCTTCTGCAATACTTGCCTTAGTGGGTGGTTCGTTAGAGCACTTACAGTGTGTGCCTAGAAGTAGTGTCGAAGTTTTCTTGAGGCCACTATCAAGATAAGGGCTAGCTTTTCCATCTCAGGGTATTTGGTCTCGGCATCCAAGAGACTCTTACTCATATAGTAGACAAGTAATTAGGTTCTTCCTTCTTCCCTGATCAACACTGAGCTTACTACATGCATCGAGATAGAAAGTTAAAGGCTCAATACTTCTCATGGGATTGGCTTCGACAAAATGGGGGATTTGCCCAGATGCTCTTTTAACTTCTAAAATCCTTTCGCATTGCGGTGTCCATTCCAACCGCTTATTGCCTTTAAGTGCGTCAAAGAAAGGTACAAATTTGTCCGTTGCCTTTGATATGAACCTGTTAAGGGCCGCGACACAACCCGTCAACTTCTGCACTTTTTTTGGCTTCTTGGGCAATTCCATGTCTTGCAAGGGCCTTTATTTTCACCACACGTTCCATAATAGTTTTGGATGAGTATAATAATACTGATCGATGAGTAAATACTAGAGTAACTATTAAAACTGCACCACCATCATATTTCTATATTTACTGATTTAAAAAACGTAATTATTAAAAACTCATATATATATATATATATTACATCCTCAGAATTTGTAATAGTTCATATATTTAGGTTGTCGTAGCATAAAACGAGTAAAGAACGTTATAAAAAAATTCTCTACTTAATGCATACACGCATGACAGCAAGCAATAGTCCAATAAGTATATTTTGTTTGCAAGGTGAGTTCAATTTATGTGGCTAGCATGATCAAGTTCGGGACTCATGCAAAATAATAACAATAATAAATAAATAAATAATAAAATAAAGTAAAAGAAGAAAAAGAAGAAGAAGCAACCAACCTTAGCTATTTCAGGAATTCTAACATCTAAACTCAGGCCTAAATTTCTGAGTAGTAATATAGATCGTAGAATTTGGATGAAGCATCGAAAACGTATAACTTACCTTCAACCTTCTTATATGACTTCTTCACTCTCGAGTACACGCCTAAGGAAATAATGAGCACCGCTGTAGCAGCAGTAGCTACAACTATGATGCTATTTCCAGACGTGTTACTCTTCTTTCCTGTAAAAAACGTGAAATTTCCTTTTGATCAAATTTTTTATGCAGGGATCAGGGGCCGAATATGTCAATCTAAACAAATACCAAGAAAGGAGATTTAGTGCTAATTGAAGTTCTTAAAGAAAAAATCTGAAAATTAGAAACAACACTCACATGCTACATCAATCTATATTAAAAAACTGAGATAATACCTATTGTAGCTCCGGCTTCAGTCAATGGTGGAGGCGGCGGCTGTGTTGCTGGTGGTGCATCATACGCATGTCCATAAAAGAGGTAAACCTCGTACCTAAAGTTACAGCTTGGAGTAACTACTCTTCCCCCTATGCTCACATAGTACCGTGGAATATCTCCAAAAGCTTCATCCAAGCAATTCTTACAGTCCAATGGGGACAAATCCGGCATGCATTGCACAAGCGCGTATATGGTTTGAAACCCTACAACGCTTATCTTTCCCGTTGCGTATTTATGAAGAGAGCCTCTGGTTGAAGCTCGAGTTTTTAGGTCATCTAATAAGATAATAAGTTGTCTAGAAAAGCTATTCACATGTTTGGATTCCACTTCTAGGCTGTTCCACAAGTAGAACCTCGGGTGAGTTTCCACGAGGCCATAGGAAGAGTGGGTTGAGAAGCGCAACACACACTCGTCGAACCCTCCGATTCCGATTGCCTCCCCATCCTTGTTACGGCAAACCTGAGAAAGAAGATGTGCCGAGCGATTAAGGCAGCTACGGCAATCCTCTCAATGTCTCCTCTGCAAAGTCCGGTCTCATAAACTTTGTCGACGCTAATTTGGTCGTAAGAGATGTTATAAAATCCAAGAATAATGCCATTGCCGTTCCTAGAGGGGATTATATTGGACAGGAAGCGTAACGTACTATTGGTGGTGTAGTTTCCTAATATATCATCTTGACAATGTTCGTGTAGGAAGCTTGGCTGAGCAGACGCCGGATTACTGAGGAGTACGTATATAAAGCAGAGGATGAAAAGCATTATTCCTGAAGAAACCGTTGCAAAATGCCAATATATATGATCAGTATATCTGTAAATGTTATTTACTAATCCATTCTAAAAGCTTAAGTTATTAGAATGTAAGTCAACAATAGTTTTATACTTTAATATTCTCCCTCACATGTGGATTGGATAATAGACAATCGTATGAATAAATTAATTAAAAAGTTCAACACGTGAATATTTAAAAATGAGCTCAAAATATATTAAAGACTCAACACATAATAACAATTTAAATGAGAATAAAGAGTGTAATTACGGAGGTTTAAATTTAAGGCTTCTCACTTTGATACCATGTGAGTTTATTAATTCATCCAAAAAACTTAAACTATTAAGAGGTGAGCCAATAATAGTTTTATATTTTAACAGTATCGAAGACGTTGCTTGGTATAAAAGAGAGGAGGAGAGACATTTTTATCTTTTAATTTCGTAACTAAAGCTCTGTTTGGTTGGAGAGACAGAGAGTAATAAAGATTGAAAGAGTTTGACGGATGGAAAATATGAAAAATGGAGATTATAGATCTATAATAATTTTTTATGTTGGTTGGAGGGAGTTAGAGTTCAGAGAATAAATAGATAATTATTTATCTAATTGTTGTATTACCCCTTTTTCTATTTTATTACTAACGTTTTTTGAAACATAAAATAGTATTTTTCCGAAAAACAAAGTATTTCTAAAACAAAACAACGAAGAAGTGTCATAATGGAGAACCAACTTGTAAGCGCGCACCTTGCTTAATTAATGTCCGTTCCTTTGTAGTTTCTGTGGGACGGCATATTATGTGGTAATGCAAAGCAGGAGAAGCGTACAAGCTCATGAACTAAAAAATGAAAACGCAAAGAAATTAATGATTCTTAGAAAGAACAAACACGAAAATAATTGGTACCAAAGAAAAGAAAAAGAACGAAAGAAAAATAGATCTTACAGACGAGTATAAGTAGAGGCGTTTGCTGCGCCTGAGGTTGGCAGCTTCTGGCTGCTGCGAGCGCCGCGGCAGAGGAATCAGCAGAGAGACGCTATTGGCGAGGCGATCGAGTCGGTCACTGGGAAGAAATGACTGAATGCAAGTTTAAAAATTGGTTGAGCCACAATGATTTCTTTTGCTCAAAATTTTCTTCGATGGCATTAGCACCACCGGTTTAGTCTATTAGTCAATTGACTATAGAGCAAACGCGCGAACAATTGCCAAACTAGACACTTTCCTGGAGATTTCAATAAAGTTATAAAGGACTCTTCGCCGAGGAAAGCGACCGAAGAGATGATTTTTGTGTCGTTTCTTTTTATGTGGTATACTACTGTTGTCGTTTTTGAAGTGATATCGGTTTTATGTGGTTCTGGGTTAATTTTGATATTGCTTATTTATTTATTTTTTAATCTTCTTACGTTTTCAAGTTTCATTTGAGTTCGCATTTTTTAGATACCAGTTGTTTTTGAGGTTACGCCGTTTTCAGATTCTTATCGTTTTACCAAATTTTCCAGGTAATGCCGTTTATTGAGGAAGCTATACATTAAATTGTTTTTGGAATTCGACGTCTTATTATTAGTCATGTCATGTATCAAGGTTTCTATCTCTTTTACAAGAAACTGTTATTCTTGCTTCAAATATTCGTTTGGTCTGGATCATGAGTTGAAGGACGTGTTTCGGTATTGGGGGAAATTTTGCGCTAACAATATCCTTTCTACACTCATACGTAGTCTTCCAAAAAAGAAAAAACGAAACAAAACAAAAAATTATGGTTGATAATGCTGTCGATTTTTTCATTGTTGTTCTATAAATGGAGGTCTTGTCGTTCATCTTTTTAGGAAATTTTGTTGCTTTTTGTGTTGTCGTCGTTTTTCTGGTTATATCCGGCAATGCCCTATAGGCCTTTACCTAGCTTCTCAGGAATTCTATTTCTAAGTATGAGAAATGCAGGTTACTCTTTTTATAATTTTTTTTTATCTCTTTTTACATTTATTATTTGACACGTAAATTTTATATGTCAAATAATAAATACATAAACTGTAAAACTAATAATAAAAAAATGACACTAACATTTTTCTTCTAAATATTTTGTTTTTTTTTTTGTTTTTTTTCCAAACTGTAGTGTTCTATAATTGTCCTCGTAGTGGGGCAGTGTGATTACATTCCACGAGATGGAAATTTTATAGCTCACCTTTTAACTGGTTTTCTTTTCAATTCTGTTGTTTACTTAATTGGGACTGATTTCGTCCTCGAAAAACCAGGGGACAAAGATCAGTTTTCCGTATCCATTAGTTTTCCCAGGAGATTGTCGATTTTATGTGGTCGTTCATTGATTTTTGTTTTTTTTTGTTTTTCGTTTTCCTTGTAATTGTCATGTTTTATAGTAGTGTCGTTTTTATAGATTATAATTGTCATCCTGACGTGGTGAATTTTTTTAGCCACATTCATTTCGCTGATTTGAATTTAAAATTTAAATTTTGTTACAGTAAAAAACTCTCAAAAATAGTCACATTTAATTTTTTAACTATAGTAAAAAACTCTCACACAACATCATATCTCAACTCGAATTATCGAACAGAACGGACTATGTACAGGGCAAATAATCATCTTTTTTGTTTCTTTCCTCCAATGAACTTTGTAATGGATGGGCATTTGGTGGAAAGTTTGAAACTTTCCCCTCATTCTAGATTACCGGGAAAAAAAAGTTGGTGACATAAATGATCATTTTTGTGAAAAATGAAAAATAAGAAATGAAAACAAAACATTGCAAGTTTTATTTAGCATTATGGCTCCTCTACTTTCCAAGGGATGCCAAAATGTCCCACAAAGATTCTACACGAGTTAACGTGCCCCCACAAGAACAAAGAAAAAAAAAAGGTATATATAATTCCTAATTTACAGAAATATGTTACTTTATTCTAATCGATGATAATCTATAAAAATAATTGAAAGTGGTAGTCTGCGTCATTACATTCCAGAAGGATTCCCTTAGCCATCATCCACAGCCTGAAGGTCGTCCTCTGTTCTTCCTTTCAGAACTATCTTCTCCTAACCCACCAATCAATGTCTACCATTGATTCATAATAATAATAATAATAATGTCTTCATCAATTATGTCAACTTCTATTATTGTACCACACTGATAGTTTGTTCCCCAGCTGTCTCATTTCAGGTCCACCTGACACGTGCCACACTTGATCTTTTGCCACGTACAATGCAGATTTCATCATTCACAAGTAATAATAAGTAACACAACGTTTTGTGTACATAATATATCATCCTTTTCTTTTTCTTTTTTTTTTTCTTTTACCCTTTTTTCATTTGGCTATGCAAGACTGTACAAATATATATATAGTTGTATCTAAAGCTAACAAAATTGCTTACTCTCGTAGCTACAAATTGCGAGAGAAGACTTGGCGAGGGGTGTAAAATGTTGTTTTATATATATATATGTATGTATGTATATAATATATATATATATATATGATCCTAGACGCATTCTAGAAATGTTCCTTATGGAATTCAAACTTGGTTGAACCTTTCTGATTGAACTCATAGCAAAGCTTGCTAAGTTCTTTTGCTAGAACCGGAGCTCCACAGTAAAATACTCCTGTTTCAGACAATTATAACAGTATAAGGAGGAGGGCAATTCTCAAAACATTTCATGGCTTAGGGAGATGGGCTCACCTATTCTAGCACTGCAGTGCTTGGAACAGATTTTGGAGAAAACTTTCTTCCAATTAGGCCTCGCAAAATGGGTTCGCACCTGATTATCAGAATCATGTATATAGTTAGTTAAAAAATGTACTCAGTAACTTTTAACTAAAAATGCTCTGAAAATAATCACAAATGTCGCATCGGTTCTGGAAACAGTGTGCCAAAAGAACATGCCATGTGTGGCAGTAGAGCTGTAAGTGCTGAAAAAGTCGCTGTCTACGCATGGGTTCAAGCCATGATCTTTTTGGAAGAATACTGATGGAAGCACTAGTATATAGAACTAACGCGTTTTGATCATATGTAGACTCCCAAGTATCATTTTCCTTTCTTGTGTACTTTTTTGAAAAAAGGGACCCCATTGTATGATAACGACAGATCAAAGAACTTACCCTTGTGCCTGACACAATGTCGACGCCGTTCTTGGCGTGGTTGAGAGCTTGAACCATGGTGATTAGAGCCGATCGAGCATCACCTTCCTCGTACACACTAGTCAAGTAGTTGTGCATCTCAATTACACCCTAAAATTCGAAAGTGATTAAACTTAATAATTATCAGAAACTTATTAGCGTCATCTTAACAAATTATAAATATTGCAGGGAAGATTTTCAGATTACCCTTTGATCAAGCTCCGCAACTTCGTTCATCACCCCCTTGAACCAATCGAATGAGCCTTGCTCCCGAGTTACCCAATAAAAGTAGGCGTTTGTGGTCTTTAGTGGCTTTTTTCTTTTCGGGGAAACCCTGTTGGGAGTGGTAAAGTCCGCACTCCCGGCACTTAAGTCTGACGTTCTACTGAAATCTGAGGCCGAATCCTAAGAAAACACAACCATTAGTTTGTAAAATTTAGTTATATATATATATATGTATATGTATATAGTTTGTAGGTTGAGATACTTAAAAAAAAAAAAAAGGGTGTGAATTAGTCTAACAACCGCAAGAACACAAGCTACTTACTGCCTGCTCCTCCATTTTTACGATGTTGTTGAGCAAATCTTTCAAAATGCTGATGAAAGGTGTGGCGCCAATCCCAAGACCAACAAGCAGCAAGACATCATATTTCTGATAGTCTTGTGCAGGAGCACCATAAGGCCCATCTATTAAAAGCTTTGGCAAACTGTTGTGGAGAGAAGAAGTTACAATTACTGTTGTAGTGCTCAAAATGCTTCAAGAGGCAGAGAGATTAAAAAAAAAAGTGAAAGAAAAAATGAAAAGAGAGAAAACATTAGCTAGTTAAACCTTTTCTTTGTTGTTTCATCAGCCCTAAGAAGGCCACTCTTCCCAGCTACAGGAGGCTCACAGGCTTCTGAGAATACCCTCTTAAGCTCTTGTGTCCAGTCGCCTAGCTGACGGATATGAACGCTAAGGTAGTCATCTCCAGGAGCAGATGTAATGGAAAATGGATGCCTTGCATTAATAAACCACAAGATAATTGATTTAGGACCGAGATATAGCAGACCAAAGGAAACTATAACTAGTATTGATTTGGACGAAATAAAAATATTATTAATAACAGAGCAACATGAGAAAGGAATACTGACGGTGTCATACATACCACTCAAAGGGAGAAACGGCCGGGCATTGAACAAACATGTACTGCCCACTTTTGTATTTAAACTGGGGCGGCTTGGACATTTGCAACGTTAGAACATTTCCAGGATAAATGGCGACCTGAAATTAAGGAATCAAATTAGGACTAAATTGGTTCAGCAATAAAAAGGACATATTATGGACAAATTAATCACGTGTGTGTAGTGGAGGAGAGGCCGACACTAACTGAATTACATTGACCATGAAGTGCGTCCTTCAGAAATTATCTGAAGGAACTCCTATCAGACATTATGAACTGCAGACATTCCAAGCATACTAATTAATCTAGTTTCTCCTATCAGATATTATGCTTTTTGATTGACCTTAATTCCCACCTTTAGAAGACGGACGGCGTAAAATCCAGACCGGAAAAATCTCAGGGTCCTCTCTCCAGCATATAGTAAAACTGGAACAGCTAGATATACCCATGTCTGCAAGCAATATGTATGAACAAGTATATTAAGCTACACTTGTTATAAAAATAAATGTTTGTCTTCCACTACTGTTAAATTCACTTGAGAATAAAAACTGGACAAAGAGGTAAAAGTTATACCGTCTTAAGGTACCATCTGTGAACGAGATAGACAAACACGCCGTGGATTACGAGCAAGACATAGACAATGACAAACAGGTGGTGTGAATACCAGAAGGCATTGAAGCCAGTGAGTCTGTCAAAGGGCTTGGGAAGCTTAATGACGCTCCTTCTGAACCACCGTGTGGCAAGTGTGAAGGCCACAGCCATGCATATGACCATTAGAATTCCCGTCACACCCTCAGGCCCTTTGACCAAAGCTGCATATGTTGGTTTATGGGTTCCAAAGTCATGGCTCAAATATTGATTGTAGTCTTCTTCTGTCACATTTATTAGCCTTGGAAAATCACATGCAAGATGGTTCCCAACGTGGAGAATGACGCCAACCACAATGGCTGCAGCTATTGTCTGCAGAAAATTAAACAAAAATTAGTCAATTTAAAGAGAATGAAATCAATGAGTATAGCCGCAGGAAATGTCTAAACAATACACTGTTCTTCTTGCAATTGATTAGTCCAACATACGTTGTTTCCACATCATATTCAATATATCATTATAAGGTGGAACTAGATCTCATGAATCCTATCAAACAAGTTAATCTCGACATATATTGAAACTTTAAATAATAAGAGCCCGTTTGGTTCATGTGTTTTAACCGGTGGTTCTTAATTTTAATATTTGAAATTCAAATTTTTTATGAGAAAAAAACATTGTAACAGAATTAAAATCATGGGTTTAAACGCAACAAACAAATGAGCCCTGAGTGATTCTCGTGAATCTTAAAGTGACGATGAATGTCGGAAAAAAAAAAGTGATGATAAACATATGATCTCGGAACTAATGTGGCTAGTTATACCCCAAAGTGTAAAGGCAGTACACTTATCCCCCAAGTGGCATTGTTTCAAACCATAGAGAACTTCCAAATTTGAATAGGAACTAAATTCGGACGTCAAAGTTAGTTCCTATTATTTGCATTAAAAATAAATAGGAACTAAATTCGGACGTCAAATTTAGTTACTATTATTTGCAAAAAAATAAAAATAAAAAAAAATAAAAAAAATAAATAGGGACATAAATTCGACGTCCGCACGACCGCATCAAAGCATGACGGTGTGAAGCTCAGAGAATATACAGTTGGAACCCAACTAGCTACTAGGGAATATAAAAAGGATTTGTGTTCCTTTTCTTCTAGTAAGTTTGTCCTGATCTATTTTTCAGAAAGCATCTATTGATTCTTTATTTTAGTTGACGTAGTAACCGGATTTCTGACTCGCGCAAGAGATGCCTCTGAATCTTTCTAATATGGTCATTTTCTATTTTTCTGGTTACAATGACTTCCGAGTTCAGGATTATTGAATAGAAAACCATTCTGTATACGGCTGGAAAATGTTCGCCGCCAACGTTACACAGCGAATGTCCTTTGTCTTCTACGTACCTAAAAAATCGTTAATTAATTAATTAACTGATTACCCTTTTACTTTCTTGCAAGTCTAAGAGGGTATTTTTCCAGTATAGACCTCATATGATATCATGCAGGTTCTAGACATTAACTGGATGGCACAAGCGGTAGGCCACCTGACCTTAATTGTCTTGTTAAACAAAAAAGTAAATAATAATTACGCGCGTCTTAAAGTCATTATCTCTTCTTTTATCACAAGAAAGAAAAGTAAGGCAACCTACTTAGGTGTCAACTTTTGCTGCGTGAACAGAAAGCTGTATAAAACGAGTCTATATCCATAAACGTACTTCTCGTTCGTTCGGTTTGTTAATTCAATTTTTTAATTTAAATTTAGATGTGATATTATGTAAAAATTTATTACTGTAACAAAAAAATTAGATATAACTGTTTCTGAAAATTTTTTACTCTAACAAAACTCGAATTCTAAACTCAAATTAGTGAAATGAACAGAATTAACTACTCCTTTAACATTTAACATTTTCATTCATTTCGTAAATTTAAGTTTTTAATTTAAATTGAGATATGATATTTTTTAAAAAATTTTAATTATAATAAAAAAAATAAATGTAATATTTTTTAAAAAATTTTAGCTGTAAAAATTAAAAACTCAAAATTCAAATCGCTTACACAAACAAGCCTTAATTTTCAACATTTATATAGTGACAGAGATCAACCTTAACGTTGACCCTTATCAAATCATAAAAGTCTATTCAGATAGGTCGAAAGTCCCAACCGATCATGGTCTCATAGACGTATAAACAAAGCAAAGGTTTTTGGGTCATAATTGATGAGTTGATATAACGCACCTTGTGGAAGTTGATATTGTCGTCAAAGGGCACAAAGTAACCGAGCTTTGTGTTCCTGAGCCAAGTGATGATGTTTCTACACACGGGCAAGAGAATGAGAGCCATGTTGAACTTTAAGGTCTCGGCTGCCCCTTTAGCCGTGAGAAGACAGTAACCCATTATCCTGAAAGCGCTTCTCTGCTTGTACTGTAAGAACTTCCATGTGAACAGACCAATCATGATTGCGATCCAAAGTGCTATGACCCAAATTCTCTTCCAATTCTCTTGCAAATAATAGACGAGTTTTGTGCTCAACCTGCGTATTCGGCTTCTCTTTCTGAGGCCTTGGAGATTCTGGCTCAGAGCTTGGCTCGTGTAGCTCAGTGCTTGGCTGTAGTTTAGGTACGTGTCCTTTTGCAGCAAAAGGGTTTCCAGTTGCCATAGCTGCGTAAGAAGTTAAAAATCATTTCCCCACAGTGGGAAAAAAAAAAAAAAAACCGAGATCAATATCAGGTGAAATATTTGACGTTCAATGATAAAATATGGATCATGATGTCAAGGACTCATCATTAGACCGCGATCCGTGACAACGAAACACTTTACGCGTTAGAAATAGAAAAGATTAAAAAAAAAAAAAAGAAACAGAGGCCAGCAATATCCCACTTGCGAGAGTGACTCAAGTTTATTCGATGAAAATATTTTTACCCACGTTTTTTTAAGTAACCCGTATATAAATATTTGTTTAAACTTTTTTTTTTTTAAAAAAAAAAAAAAGAAACAGAGGCCAGCAATATCCCACTTGCGAGAGTGACTCAAGTTTATTCGATGAAAATATTTTTACCCACGTTTTTTTAAGTAACCCGTATATAAATATTTGTTTAAACTTTTTTTTTTTTATCATAATTAAGCATTGTATATTTGTTTGACTTACAAATTGGTTAATACAGCACATAATAGAACAGTAAAGAATTTTGTTTTATATAGGGGAACCCACCTCAATGTAGCCAAGTCTTTCAGGGTCCAATTCTTCCATGATCAGAGCTGCATATTCTTCTGCTTGTTCCTTCAATCTCGATAGCTTGTTTGCAGACGCACTTAGCATAATAATCTAATTATCAAAAAATATATATATTTATTTAGGCAAAAAAAGGTTGACCATGTGTTGTGTTCATACTAATGCAATAATCTGCAATAAAATTACTAAAACGCCCCCACCAACCCCACTGAAAAACGTCATAATTCTTCAGAAATTCGGCCGAAATGAGAAAACGAATTTGCCACCTGTCCAAGCTGGGACTGTGGAACAGGGCAGAGTCCTTGTTCACTAACTCTTGAGTCTAATAATAGACAAAGATGCTTAAGAACATGGCAAACATCATAGACCAAGAAAGCTACCAAAAAAAAAAAAAAATCATATCCATTATCTTGTATAATATTAAGGGAGTAGTTAGCTTTACTAATTCATGGATTAAGGTCACCCAATCCCGCCTACCCATAGACTATTTTAACTAAAAATGGAAGCTTGAAGACTATCATAACCAATTAAGGTTATTCAAGATTGTATGTACCACTTTGGTCACTCTAGCAAGAAGAGGAAGACAAGGTCGGCGCTAGACCTTTTTTTTTTCCTTTTTTCTTTTTTTTTTTGAAAAAAAAAAGAATTAAGAAGCCGAATGCAAGTTGTCTAAATCATGCATGTCATTGAATATCATTAATTTAATGTGACTGATTATGCTGATTCAATTAAAATTAGTGAGGAAATAAAGAGTAATATGATTTTCCATAACCTTTTTTTTTTCTTTTATTTTTTACCTCTTTTACTTCCTCTTCAGTGATTCTACCATCTTCGTTCTTGTCCACCCTTCAATATAAAAAATTAACCAATTAACACGAGAGAGAAAAAAAAAATAAACAAATGAAATTGCATTACAGGCAGGAATGGATACAAAGACGGTTATGCTCCCGCGTTGTTGAGAGAAAGTGATGGTTTATTTCTTTAAACAAAAGGAATGATTGATTAATAATATTAATAAAGCCAGACACATAAAGATGAGATTAATTAATGGTGACTTAGTTGATGAAGATTTTAATTAACGGGTACATGTCGAAGAAGATCTGGAGTCGCGAATCGAAGCTTTGATCGGTAATTTGCGACCAAAACTCGTAGAGTTCGTCTCTGCTGATTTTTTCAACCTTCAATCTTCGTCTTCGTCCCAAAGCATCAAGTAACTCCAAAGCAAACTCCTTTGAATCTCTCATTCCTTTTCAAAAAATTAAAATATTAATGATATCAATAATTAAAGTTAAGCAAATTGCTTTTGAGCAAAATGTAAATTGAAAGGAGAATTGGAAATAATACCAATGCATTCGGCAAAATCGGAGCGATAAAGATAACCGTCTTTGGCAAGCTTTTCGAAGTTCTTCAGGACTTCGTTCCACCCGTCGACGCCATTGTTGGCCTTGCGGGTGTTACTGATGAATCTCAATCCGCGAAGCGCCTTCTGAGCGCCGGAGCGAGTCCGATCGAGCTGAGCTCTCTGCCTCCTCAAGGCTCGAGCCGCCAGAGCTGATTCGACTCCGCCGCCGGCAGCCGCCGAGGATGAAGCCGAAGCCGGAGCCCAGAGCTGAAAATATTTTTACCCACGTTTTTTTAAGTAACCCGTATATAAATATTTGTTTAAACTTTTTTTTTTTTATCATAATTAAGCATTGTATATTTGTTTGACTTACAAATTGGTTAATACAGCACATAATAGAACAGTAAAGAATTTTGTTTTATATAGGGGAACCCACCTCAATGTAGCCAAGTCTTTCAGGGTCCAATTCTTCCATGATCAGAGCTGCATATTCTTCTGCTTGTTCCTTCAATCTCGATAGCTTGTTTGCAGACGCACTTAGCATAATAATCTAATTATCAAAAAATATATATATTTATTTAGGCAAAAAAAGGTTGACCATGTGTTGTGTTCATACTAATGCAATAATCTGCAATAAAATTACTAAAACGCCCCCACCAACCCCACTGAAAAACGTCATAATTCTTCAGAAATTCGGCCGAAATGAGAAAACGAATTTGCCACCTGTCCAAGCTGGGACTGTGGAACAGGGCAGAGTCCTTGTTCACTAACTCTTGAGTCTAATAATAGACAAAGATGCTTAAGAACATGGCAAACATCATAGACCAAGAAAGCTACCAAAAAAAAAAAAAAATCATATCCATTATCTTGTATAATATTAAGGGAGTAGTTAGCTTTACTAATTCATGGATTAAGGTCACCCAATCCCGCCTACCCATAGACTATTTTAACTAAAAATGGAAGCTTGAAGACTATCATAACCAATTAAGGTTATTCAAGATTGTATGTACCACTTTGGTCACTCTAGCAAGAAGAGGAAGACAAGGTCGGCGCTAGACCTTTTTTTTTTCCTTTTTTCTTTTTTTTTTTGAAAAAAAAAAGAATTAAGAAGCCGAATGCAAGTTGTCTAAATCATGCATGTCATTGAATATCATTAATTTAATGTGACTGATTATGCTGATTCAATTAAAATTAGTGAGGAAATAAAGAGTAATATGATTTTCCATAACCTTTTTTTTTTCTTTTATTTTTTACCTCTTTTACTTCCTCTTCAGTGATTCTACCATCTTCGTTCTTGTCCACCCTTCAATATAAAAAATTAACCAATTAACACGAGAGAGAAAAAAAAAATAAACAAATGAAATTGCATTACAGGCAGGAATGGATACAAAGACGGTTATGCTCCCGCGTTGTTGAGAGAAAGTGATGGTTTATTTCTTTAAACAAAAGGAATGATTGATTAATAATATTAATAAAGCCAGACACATAAAGATGAGATTAATTAATGGTGACTTAGTTGATGAAGATTTTAATTAACGGGTACATGTCGAAGAAGATCTGGAGTCGCGAATCGAAGCTTTGATCGGTAATTTGCGACCAAAACTCGTAGAGTTCGTCTCTGCTGATTTTTTCAACCTTCAATCTTCGTCTTCGTCCCAAAGCATCAAGTAACTCCAAAGCAAACTCCTTTGAATCTCTCATTCCTTTTCAAAAAATTAAAATATTAATGATATCAATAATTAAAGTTAAGCAAATTGCTTTTGAGCAAAATGTAAATTGAAAGGAGAATTGGAAATAATACCAATGCATTCGGCAAAATCGGAGCGATAAAGATAACCGTCTTTGGCAAGCTTTTCGAAGTTCTTCAGGACTTCGTTCCACCCGTCGACGCCATTGTTGGCCTTGCGGGTGTTACTGATGAATCTCAATCCGCGAAGCGCCTTCTGAGCGCCGGAGCGAGTCCGATCGAGCTGAGCTCTCTGCCTCCTCAAGGCTCGAGCCGCCAGAGCTGATTCGACTCCGCCGCCGGCAGCCGCCGAGGATGAAGCCGAAGCCGAAGCCGAGAGCACGCGCGCCGCGTGGCCGTGGCTCCACGAGAACCGCCGCAGCTCCGCTTTCAGCTCCTGCGAGAACTGCCTCGCCTTCGCGACGGCCTCCGCCTTCAGCTCCTGCGAGAACTGCCGCAGCCGCTTCGACGACGTCCGCCTGATCGACGACGGCGACCTCGACCCCGACGCCGGCGTTTCGATCCCTCCGGCGGAGGAGGAGGCTCCGTCGTCAATGTTGATCGCCGTCGCCGGCTCGACGCTCCGAAGCACGATCGTGTCGTCGTCTTGGAGATCGAGGGTCACTTCGACGAACTCCTCGGCCGAGCCGGAGTCGTTCCCCGGCGACGATCCTCCGCTCACGGCGGGCACGGAGTCCGACGCCCATCGTCTCTCGTGCTTCGGAAATCCCCTCATTGATCGACCAAAATCCTCTCCGGTCCCTGGTGAGGTCTGTTTTTCTTGAGTGAGCTCTTAAAGAGGAATGTTTGGGGATTGAAACGCGTCGTTTCGGAATCTCAGTGAAAAGACATGAACGCGGAAGCGCAGCAAACTTTAGGAGTACATATAATATATATAAAACGAAAGCAGAAGAAAGAAAAGGACAAATGTTTTTTTTTTTTTTTGTTGGGTTAAAGAAATAGACAAACACTAGCCAGTTCTGGTTGTGGAATGATGGTAGTCAATGTAATATTTGTGGCTGCGTGTAGAGAATGAATGGCACAGTGACTAGTGACCACCAAAAGAAGAAAAAGAAAAGAAAAGCTTCTTCTTCTTCTTCTTCTTCTTCTGCTGATCTTGTTCTTCTTTTTGCCTTTTTGTTTTGTTTTGTTTTTGGTTTTGTCTGTCTCTCTAGAGTATTTATGTGTTAGTTTCGTGGCAAAACGCGGTTAGAGAATGAATTTGAAGGAGGGAGAGGGAAAGATAGAAAGAGAAAGAAAGTGAAAGCCTGAGAGGCTAGAGAGGGAAATTACTACCTATATATATATATATATATATATAAGATTAGTTTTTATAATTGTTTTTCATTATGTGTTGGGTTTGGCAGGAGGATGAGATGGGGTGGCGTGGGAAGTGGGGGTGGGGCCGGCCGTTGATTCTAAATTTTCTTGAGTCTCGACGGCAGGGATTACTCCGGTCAACTCCTGCCGAGAAATGGAAATTACAATTTACAAAGTAACTAGACTTTTACACGTTCGTATTATATTATATATTTAAAATTTTCACCATCAATTATTCTCTTAAAAAAAAAGAGTTTACAGATTACGGAGCATCCAAATGGTGATTAGGGATGGTATCAGATCGGGGCGGGTAGGTATACTTCCATAATTACTTAATAACAGTTGATTTTTTTTTGTTTGTTTGTAAAAATGTAAAATTCACCGTTTGAACTTTTTAGTTTGAACTATATAAAAAAAAAAAAAAAGATGAATTGATGGGAGATTAAGTTCTCGGAGCCCGTGTGGTTGAAAAATTCGTTCTCTAATTCGAATCATGATTTATGATTCGTTACAGTATTTTTCTCATAAAAAACACACGTAAATCGAAAATGAATTATATCATAGTTCTAATCCATGAACCAAACGGGCTAACATCTCATGATTCAAACTGGAGTCAAAACTCGGGCATCAAACATATGTTTGGAATGAGCTGGTGGTTCAAATCACATGAAATCATGAGCAATATGGCCCCTTTTAACAATATATGTTCCACGATGTTATTAGTATTGTGGTTGTTGCTGTTATAATAATAATAATAATAATAATAATAATAATATTATTATTATTATTATTATTATTATTATTATTATTATTATTTTCTATTTTATTATATATTGACGTTGTGGGAGTTTGGTTCGGCCCGCCCAGAACTTGACATTTTATGGAGCAAATTAAGTAGGGATCATTGTAAATGTGCATCATAGTTATTGTTGTTGTTGTTGTTTATTTATTTATTTTATTTATTTTTTGCTAATCGCATCGTAGTTGTTTATTGTTACTGTTTATTTGGTATACATAATACATGTCAACACGCATAGATCATTTTATATTATATGCCAAATTTGGTTTACTATTATTAATTTTTGCATGTATATATGTTATAATTGTATAATAGAACATACTCTAATCTTCAGACAATATGATACAAACTAGTGATTGATGAATAACTACTAACTGCCGGCGGCCTTGATTTTTTATTAACTTATTTTTTCCGTGTATCTGTCTCCGACATCATCTCTTTTTTTTCTTTTTTTCTTTTTTTTCTTTTTTAGTACGCCAAGATTATCAATTGCAAATTGTGTCCAAGAAATGGTGCTGTTAAATCATGCATATTTTAACCGACACGTGTTATCAACTATATATTAATTGAATATTGATTAGAAGCAAAGAAAGCTTGAAAAACTATAAGAATATACTTTTTAAATTTCTTTTCAAGAACGTGGTTGGATTAGACTTTGGCTTTATATTAACGGAATATATAGTGCATATATACTTTTGTGTGATGGAATATTCAAATCTTTAAAAATAAAATGAAATAAAATAAAATAAACAATTATCAAAATAACGTGCAATTACAACTCGATTGATTTCACACTTCCGTATGTGTGTGTGTGTGTGTGTGTATATTCCAACTTTTTTTATATAAAAACAATACATTAAAAGGAGAGAAAATGTAAAACGACACAAATTAAAGCAACCAAAAGAAATAGTGAGATATATTAATACATTTTGATCATTTTTCTTGTGGAGAAAAATTTCGAGAAGAAACATATATACATTTGACTAACTAAAGATTCTCTGGACTCAAAGTCGTGCTAATGGCCACAAAATGGTAACAAACTCGGCGGTCTTTGCCTCTTTGGTGTAATTCCCTTCAGTACACACCAAATCCTGATAGTAGAATTGAAGATTAAGACTTCATAACCACCCCTTAGATTTCCATGTGTTGAAATTCCAAGCTCTTGATTATAACTTGGAAACACATTTTCAGTTTAGACGTGAAGTTGATTTTATTTAAGTAGCTTCTTGCCAATAAGCCGACCCAAATCTTACTCTTTTTACGGAAGCTACACTATAAATACCAACAAAAATAATGGTACTCATTTTCTTTCTTCTTAAGTCAATTTACCCATCAACGTGTAGAATTCACACATTCAACATTAGTAAATTCGTGTGAAACTTCCTCAGCGCATTAAGAACACGATGTTATCAAAACTTAAAAGGTCATCCTATCTTTAATTTGGACACAAAAAATGGCTCCTAAGTCTTTGATAGAGATCATTTGTCACATTCTAAATCCACTAGCGTATAAATAATTACTAGTCATACTTGTTGGGAATGAATTCAAGAGATGTTAATAAAGTTAAAAGGCCAAATGAACACGCACCAAGCAGCACTTTTAAGATGATGCAATATATATTATTTAGCATGTAAGATTATAATGAGACAAAAATGGGACAAATATCACTTAATGTGAACATCCTCCCTCTCTCCGTGTGCTATTGGACATAATTTTCTAACGTGAAAAAGAGTGATGATCATGACATAGCTTCCTTCAAAATATATATGTAGCACATCCATGTGATCTTTAATTGTCAAGACTAATTTATTTGAGGGGAAAAAAAGAAAGAAAATTAAGCCGATATATATGTGCGATAAGATTCGGTTGGACTTCTACCATATGATTATGTTTAATTACTTGGAAAACTATTTGTTTTAGCTGCGTCACCTTTCTGTCGTAAAATAAATATTGCAAGCATTGAATAGTACTACATTATAATTTGATGTGTCGAAAAACTGATCGATCATGTGTCCAATAATTCTACGTTATTTGTACTAGAAAATGCAATTAAAAGATCCAACCGGAGGACACCATTCATCAACGGAGAGTTTAGCGGAAATAAAAAATGTTTCTAAGGTACGCTAAAATATAATATTGCATTAGAGATGTTTTAATTTTGAGAATCGATGCATACTATCAAGTAGGCTTGTGAATATTCAATTTGATCTCTCTATATTACTGCAGGAGCATTTTTTTATTCATACAATTAACTCCTTCAAAAACCAAAGCAATACAATCCTAAATCTGACAGCCGCAAACAAATCGGAATTGATTGGGTGACATGATCTGCGGAGCAATCTTATCGAGTTTGTTTGCAATTTTTTTGAGGTATTATTTTGGACATAAAAATTTCCCAAAACAAAATTGGACCCAAATCCTCAATTTTAATACAGCCTCTTTACCTTCGGATTTGTTAAAATATGAAATTGAAATTAAGGTTATGATGCAACCCAACAATAATGAAAAATTCCTCCCTACATTTAGATCATGTGCCAAGATATATATTTTGTATGTATTACTATAATTTGTGATATTGATCAATGAAATTAGTCTAAATAGTTAGGCAAATGATAAGTGTGTACGCATTCTTCAGAAGATAAATGGCTAATAAATTAACCGGACATAAGTTTTTCTTTCTAAAATCACAACCAAATTCGTTCTTGTACCATATACAACCCATGTGACGTACGTCTATATATACCATTAAAATTTTGTCAACTTTCAACTCTATTAAATTGTCTAAAGTAGAAATACTGTGTATATTATTCCCTTTACTGGCAATAGCAGGTAGCAAATTTGATCAGCCTTAATTCGTAATGCTCTAAAAAGAAAGCATATAGATCATGCATGTGAGAGATTAGTTATAGACTTATTGTAGAGGGGAAATATTATCCCAATGACGACCCTATATATTCTAGTTCAAACACACGCGTTTCAAACGTAAACAAACTCAACCTAACAAAAGAAAATGAAGAGCATATGTAAATGAAGGAGTTGAAAAGAGATTATCAACATATATATATATATATATATTGTTATATAAGAGTATATATTTTTCATAACCTTAAAGCTACCATGTGGTCAAAGTCATGAAGCATGGTTTTGATGTTGTTTAAAATAATTGATTGAAACTGTGTGGATGTGATTGAGTTTTCTTCTTTAAATTTCCAGAGATTTTAGATAGGAAATTACCTCCTCCTAACCGAAGCAAACAATTACTTGTTCCACAAGATAGTTAACCCTTAATATATTAAAATAGTACATAAAACAACCTTACTGATAATATTAAAATAGCTAAAAACACTCACTTGATCATGTCGAAGTGATTTAATAACGAAGTGATTTAGAAGTGGGCGCAAAACCATTTCTCTCAAAGCTGCAATCAAATCAATAGAAGAGGCGCAATCAAATCATTTGAATACCATTTATGATCACACTCGAGAATCTATCTCAATTAACATTAGTATTCGTTTGTGCCTTTATATCGAAGAGTTCCTTACGAATCTATGGATGCACCCAATAAATGGGTTCAGACACTTTTTTGAGCCTTCGAGGCCGCCCTGAACTTTGTTAAAGCGGCAGCCTATTTTTCGATACTTTTATCAATATTTTTTAATTAAGTAATCATCTAATATGTAGGCGTATGTATACATCGATCCAAAGTCCTTGGTTTTCTTGTGCTTAACTAATGTTTATATAGGACTTCGATTATTTTCCTAAGATGATGTCCACTAAATTCTTTTTTTTTTAATGTTAAAAAAAACAATAATTGATTTAGGATTAGAGCTTAGCTATACCCGAGAACACATAAAAGGAGTTCACCCACCAGTTGAATTATGACATTCTTCGCTTCACCTGCCGCACAAATATCTATAATCAATTTTTCTATATGCTGCTGCAAGCGAATTGTGGTAATTAAACGACCACTTGTACTTTTGAAACACATTATATATATTTAGGTCTCGTTCATTTTATTGATTTGAATTTTTAATTTTAAATTTTTACAATAAAAAGTTCTTAAAAAATATTACATCTAATTTTTTTATTACAATGAAAAGTTCT